GAAGTTAGTTTGTTCCTGTTCCGCATTTAAAGTTGTACCGAGTGGAATAAAAGTTGGAAGCAGAAGAAAGAGTTTAATACTCGGCCATCCACGGTACAATATATTAATATATAAAAATTAATTATAATTAATAACGTTATGGATTATAAACTAGTACGAATATATATTCGTACTAATAACCAATGCAATCATCATGAAGCAAATTCCATCTTCCAGTAATGTTGGTTGATAGCGGATTGTTTTCTTTGGTAGATAAACCTCACTGCAGTTAAACCTGTTTCTTCTGCAAATAAAATTGACCAATAAAGAATATTTTACTGCATCTTACACATGGTTGTTTTCTTCAGCCCTTTTCACCGCAAGATTTAGGGCGAGTTTTGAAACACTGAAAATGTGTGCTTTAATTGGGAAAGAAATCGTTCTTTGAGGCCCCGAAGGCTATTCAAAAGCGGATCCAGGGGGTCGATCATGATCCCCCCCTTGTGCTGGGTTTATGTCGCCTAACGATAATTTTTCTAATTTCATAGGCAACAAAAGACTAAATTACTACTACTTGAACCTGACGCGAAAGCTGGATCCACCCAAATTACTGGGCAGCGATATTGGACTATAGCTTTCGCAATAGCTATTGCATAGCTGCTTAAAAGGCACTCCCCCGAACCTTCAGGCTGTTCTCTCACTAGATTAGCAATCTTTTGGTTCGCAACTAAATACTCGTTAAATCTGCTTCGGAAGAATTCATTTATCATCTTGAGCGTCCCCAGAGTGTAGACGCACATAAACCACAAGAACAGCAAACTGCGTAGTAAAGGGAACATCCTCCAACGGGTTTTATTGAGTTGTGAAGTCCAAATAGATGTAGTAAGCGGCGTCAAGGACTTGCTTCATCTGCGGCCAGCACACAAGCACAAAGTAAAGCAGCGTGTTGATAAAGACAAACAGTTTGAGGTTCTCCAAACCCTCCTCAGGGCTGAGCCACCGGGAGAACGTCCGTCTTTCCACTACTTCTTGCTCCGTTTGGCTGCTTAGCTGCGATTTACTGTTCTTTTGCTTCTTCATGACGATCCGCCGAGCAAACTGAAGCCCAAACGCGTTGGTGTGAAGTCAATTGAATTAGTCAAAGATTTAAGTGCTTTATTATATTGACTCCCAGTCCGGTTCGATAACATAATCTTTTTCCAAAGGCACCTTGGCCTTTTACTTCAAGCTCCAAGGCGGTCTTTTCAAAAGAATCGAGCTGCCACACAGTTATGGACTTTTTTGCGTGGCGGCCAGCAAACAATCACACCTGCGAGAGATGATGGCTGGTTGAATTGCTATCGAAACTTTCCAGCTACATTGATAGTTGCCTTTGGGCTGATCCTGTGGATTCCGTGCGCAGGCTATCGGCGTCGACACTTTTTCATAGCCATGTTCCATATTTCGCAGATTCAATGTGGATCCACCGTTAATGTTGGTCACAGACGCACAACTTCCGTTGTAAAATTGGGTTTTCACATACTTAAAATTGGCCGAACTCACACTCTTGACCCTGAATATGTCGAGAAAGCTTGGTAGACGTTTAGGGCCTGTTTGGCTCGGGTCATCGTCAGAACGGCTCATTTTCTATTGGGGGATTTGGACACTTGAAATTTTATTTGAGCGACAGGAATGTTTGCTGGTGGTAATGAAACGAACCGCTTGATGGAATTAAGTATTTTTATATCTTTCTCGCCTCTTTGGTTCGCTCAATAATTCGGGAAACAAAAACATAACGTTCAGCTAAACAACCAGGCCAAGGAACAAACAGTTTAGGCTTTCGTGCACAAACAGCAAAAGAAAATCAACTGGAAAAACCCATATGGGGCCTTATCGATGTTGAGGTAGCACTCGACTGGCGCCAGATTATCATTTGCCCTAATTTATTATATTGCAACGGAAATGGCCTCGGGTACTCACTTTTGAAATGAAGAGATCAAAATTCATGGTATTGCAGTAAATGGGAGCCCCATTTGCGCCCCATTTACTGTCAAATATGACACTGACAAGCGGGAAGTTTCGCACCTGTTCTGGAGATTTCGA